AGTCTGCTTCAGAGGGGACATTCAGGGGTCAAGGGCCCAGCCCCTGATCCACACAGGCAGCAGTGATTCTGTGTTTTCCGCAAAACACAAACGGGTGAAATTCATACTTCAGCAATGTCAACTTCCCTCTGCAGCGCTGTCACTTACAGCACAGGCCTCAGAGAGAGAGAGAGAGAGAGAGAGAGAGAGAGAGAGAGAGAGAGAGAGAGAGAGAGATCCTGTATCATTTCCTGTTCTTCCAAGCAGTGTCTTTCTGACCTTGTTCATGATATGCCTCCATGCTTCTCAGTATCCTCCTGCCTGGCGCTTAATACGTGGTTCCGTCTGCCTGTCTTACTCTCTGATGCTGCTTCTATCTGTCTCCCTGTCTCTTCCTCTCGACCTGTTTCCCTCCATCCTTAACTCTCTCTTCTCCTCCCACGTACCCACTGCCTGCAGCTGGCACATCACTCCCCCTTTCTCTCCGGGCGACACGCCATATGCCGCCTCTCCTTCTACACCCATTTCTGACCACACGGTTTAGAGAGAGTGTTTTCTGTTGCTCTTGGACTGCGTTTTCAAAAAGGCTTTCCTTCGCCCTGTCTGTCCGAAACTCAGACCCCTTTTTTCCAACTACAAGTGCTAGTTCTGGCATCGTAATAACCGGCCCTACACACACACACACACACACACACACACACACACACACACACACACACACACACACACACACCACACACACACACACACACACACACACACACACACACACACACACACACACACACACACACACACACACACACACACACACACACACACACACACACACCACACCCCAACCCCCTCACTGAAACACCAAATATTTCATTTTCTAGGCAGGGACGAGGAGGCGAGGGATGAAGGGGAAAAAAGATACAGTGTATTTATGAAAACAAACTGACGGGTGCTTTGACGAGTGCAGCTTAGATGGTGGATATATACCAACAGGAGAGGTGAGAGGCAGGTAAATGTAAACTTTCATCGCATTACCATCGACGGCTTGGCCTCTGATCGCGTTCCCTGGTTTCTTAAAAGCTCTCCTCTGACCAAAGTCTAGCTTCTTCTAATTCCACACAGAGCTCTGGGAATTTATTCAATTACCTAAAATGATCACATAAGAAAAAGGCCTTCAGAATCTGCTGAGGTGCACAGGATAAGCTTTCAGAGCTATCTACAGAATCTCTTTAATTCACCAAAAGTGTGTGTGTTTTAAAATGTCAAAGTGCCTCAGAGTAGCTTTTTTTTGCTGAGTCCATTAAAATCTCCCACATCCTTCTTTGTGTAAATAGGAAAATTATTTGAGAGAACCAGTGTGCGTACATGTGGAAACTGAAGGAAATATTGATTTTTATTTTCATGGCTTTTGTATTTCTTCTTACATTTACAACCGTTTTTGTGAGGTCTATCCTAGAAATTATATAGTATTATATAAAAGCTAGCTTTGTTAGAACATAAAACTTTTCAAACATATTATTAAAAAATTCCTAAAAATGTATAATGTCCATATGATACCAACTCATATTTAAATTAAAATGTATTCTTCTAATTTGGTAACATAATAAATGACTAAAAGTTTCTTCAGTGACAAGTGTAAAATAATTTTGATTCACTTTGCATCTCCTCATCCTACACACAAAAAAGATATGTTACGTTACGAAATTAAAGCATTTATTTTTGCTGTTCAGCATAATATATAGGTTGCTAAATTTAGCGATGCAACAAACAATAATCTTCATATTAAGTTAGTCTGAGAGTTATTTGATTAGCACTAACAAGTCAGAATGTTGACAATCACAGCTCCTAAAGCCCAAGGTCACATCTTTAATGAATTTGTTTAGCCTGAATTAAACTCCAAAACACTCAAAACCTGAATATATTCATCACTAATGAGACACAAACACAAACGAGACAAAGAAAATCAGCAAAACACTTCACTTTGAGAAGCTGGAAATACAGGCTGTTTGCCGTTTTTGCTTGGAAAATCGACTACTGATTGATACTGTATACATTTTAATGGTTTAAGAACTATTTTTTATAGTAATTTATATGAGAGTTTGCATTAAATAACTAATGTTTTACTGACTTACACCTTCAAACAATTATTAATTTCCCAGATCCCATATCTGTGAGACAATACAAAATGTGAAACTCATATTGTCTGTACTCCTGCAGAGTTTTAAGGATTGCTCTAAATTGAGGTTAAAGAGTATCTTTTCAGCCTTTTATAAGACTTGGCGTTAGCATGGAAACACCACCCAGACAGCTACACACATGCACACACACACATTAAACATGTAGGCGTGCACACACTCAAACACAGAGTGCTGTGTTAATGAGAGTGTAGTCTCCTTCTGTTTCACTTCTTTTCTGCCCCAGCAGGGAATATAAAGTTTAACTGCCGTTTTGCTATCAGTGACCCTAAAGAGGAAACACACTCACCACAGAGAAAGACTACTAATTACCCAAAACTCTGTGGGTG